TCAAAATTGAAAGAATCTTCAATGAACTAGGAGAACAATTTTAAATCTCAAAATTTTCAACAATTTTGAATCAAAATTGAAAGGATCTCTTTCTTCTCAATTTTTTTGACAATCTTGAATTAAAATTGAAAAGATCTTCGATGAACTTGAAGATTCAAAAGGAAATCGTTTGTCCAACAACAATTCCATCACTTTTGTATCCTTCATAACTCATCTCGCTTATCCAAAATTTCGATAATTTTTTTTTAATCAAATCTGAAAGGTTTCTTTGTTGATGAGGGGAGCAATTTGAAATTTTGAATTTCTTCATTCTGATAGGATTTGTCTCTGTATGATTGAGAGTAAGAAGAAACGTAAGCGTAATTTATGAGATTTAATTAATTTTTAGATTTTATTCCATTTTTAGAGCAATAGAAAGATTCTTCTTGTATTAAAATTAATGTATCTGGAAGGTACAAATTTTAAGGGATTATTGTAATTAGAAAAAGAGTAGGGATATGATGTAATTTCCTCTTTATACTATGAGATTTAGGTAAGTTATACTATAAATTAGTTACTTAGATACATGTTATGTTGTAATATTACAAATCTTACCGAATTTTAGTATGTAGATACATGTATTTTGAGATATATGAACTCAAAAATTATGTGTAATTTATTCTATATACACTCTATCCAAGTAGATTCACATGTATCTAGGATACATTGACAAATCCATCGCCCTCACCTCCCTCCCATCTCGCTCGTCACTCTCTTATCCCGCTCGTGTATCTAGGATGTATTATACGAGATACATATATCTCGCGTATCTAGTATCCTAGATACATGTTAATCACACTAGATTTTTTGCTAGTGTTATTAAAACATCACCATTGTTTGCCATATTTGATTTGAAAATCTTTTCATTTTCTTGATATTATAGAATTTTAAATTTGAAAAGAAAAAAAGACGGACTAGCCCACCGCAGCCCGCAACCCTTCTACGACTGAGTTGGGTTGAGCATTTTCAGGTCCTTCTAAATGAAGGGTCGGGCTGTCCCGCCCTAGCCCATCAAATTCCTTGGCCCGCGAGGCTTGGGTCGTGTGGGGCTGGGCTGACCTTTTTTGACAACTCAAATTAATTTTCTATATTTGTTTTTTTTTTATGTATCCTTTTTTTTTTTTTTTACTTTTAACGTTCTTTTTCTTCTCTCTCTTTAACGAAGAAACACCAACAACAACATGGGCGGTCGCGACGGCACCTACAATCCACCATGTGAACTTCACTCATCCACCAACAAGTCTCTGTCTTCATCAGCTAAGATTTAAGCCCCCTCTTACCTTCAAATCACATACATCTCATATTAGCTCAACTAACTAAAACTCACCGAAAATAATTATTGTTACTCCACCATGTGAAAATAGACCCATCAACCACCAATTCCGTTGTGAACTACCACTGCACTTCCTTTTTTTCCTTTGTAGCTTCAGGATTTTTAAAGTAGGAGATGCAGATTCAAGCATAAACACAAAACTTAAATAGTTAGGAGTCGCATCTACGTTCCCTTTTCAGATCTAATAAAGCTTTGACTATCAAATCTATCCTAAACATTGAATAGTACAAAAATCTTATAAAATCTTCATTTTAAAGATTTCTACCCAACTAAACTAAACTAACCGCATCTAAAAATTTAAGCCCAAAATTGACAAAAAAGACTTTTTTTACAAGATACATGTCATCTCTCACCAATAACAGGTACCAAATAACTCTGTCTAATAAGATTAACACAGATGAAAAATATACCCTAATTTTTTTTGTCTCCGCTAACAATCGTTAAAGGCTGAGTCGTCTATAGATATGATATTACTACTCTATATGAATCATTAAAATGGGCATCAACTATTTTTGCCCTAGTTCATCTCCTTTATCTTCAAACTTTCTCTCTTCCTTCTAAATTTGTTGAAATCGGTCATGTCTCAAGAGTTTGGAATGTCAATTTTTTAAATAAAAAATAGATATTTGTTTGTGCATAGAGTACCGTAGGATCAAGAGTCAAGACATCAAGGATCCCTGCGAATTCGGGTCGTAGATTTTGGGGTTGTAACAAAAAGCAGATTACGTATTTTATTTTTATTTTTTTAGGCAAATGGTGGATGTAATTATTTTCGTTGGAAAGATGATTTTCGAACAAAGAAATAATCCACGATTGATGAAAAATACAACTACTTCACACAACAATGTGAGGTCTGTTATGCAGTCTAATATGAATGAAGTTGAAGAAAATAGAGATCTACTAAGGTCCTTGTTAAGGAATACTCTACATGAGAGAAATGTTTTAAAAGAAGAATTGAAAGAAAATAAGAAAACAATCGACCGTCTGAGACTAATTTGTGATCTCTTGTTGTTATTTATATTTTACAAATATTGCCTAGTTGTTCAGATTTATTAGATTTTATGTAATGTTTTTTTTTTGTTGTAGTTACACTTTTTATGTAGTTCCTCGGTTGACTTGAGCATGTAAAATCTACAATGTCTTGTCAGGATTTGGTTGTTTTCTTTCCTAATTCTATTTGCAAGATTTTTGATTAGTTCAAGTTATGATTATAGAGGAACTTGTTGGAATTGGAGCTTTAAAAATTTTCAAGTTACGAACAAGATGTTGTGATTTGACGTACCAATGCTCCCATTCACAATGTAAACCACAATAAAATTTACGTGGATCTAAATTTTTTACCTTACAAAAATTGTCATTACGCTCTATTACAAGATAAAATTAATATTCATCTAACTCAAACATAATGATATCAAATGAGAAA